CAGGCTGAGGCTGAAGCTGTTGGCCAAGTCCCAGGCTCCGCCTCTCGCCCGGGGCAGGCTGATTTGGACCGGGCCATTTCTCACACCTACCGGCAGCTGGTCATGAAAGAATTCGAGGACCACGTCCTGGGAGAGGCCCGATACGTTGGTGTTCCCCACGGTGAGGCCGATCACCTTTTCTCCGAGCACCCTGCTGCCGTCAGGCTGAGGCTGAAGCTGTTGGCCAAGTCCCAGGCTCCGCCTCTCGCCCGGGGCAGGCTGATTTGGACCGGGCCATTTCTCACACCTACCGGCAGCTGGTCATGAAAGAATTCGAGGACCACGTCCTGGGAGAGGCCCGATACGTTGGTGTTCCCCACGGTGAGGCCGATCACCTTTTCTCCGAGCACCCTGCTGCCGTTCTGGTCCTAGGAGAGAGGGATCCGCTGGGACGGCGGCGGGGCACCAAGCCGCTAACCCCTTCCCCCAGACCTCAGACCCACAGAACTTCCCTGTCTCTCACACACACACACGCTCCCTAAATGGGTCTGCACACACAGGCTCCGGTCAGAGCTGGAGCAGTCCCTGCCCACACTGTGCTTCACCGCTGTCACACCCCACCACCGCTGTCACACCCCACCACCAGCTGGGGGTTCAGGACACCAGGTGGCCTCCTGTTTACTGTGGCAAAGGCCAGATCACAACCATCTGCCCCGGTACCCTGACTGAGGGGAGCTGCAGCCCCAGAATTCAGGGTGGGGGGGGGGTTGGGCTGCCTTCCCTCCTCCCCCTCACTGCGGCACTCTGCCAGCCCCAGGGGTGAGGGAGCCCAGTGGGACTGCAGGAGCCAGGTGCAGAGGGAGGCTGGAAAGGGCAGGGCTCTGGCAGGAACCGGAACAGGGGGACGCTGCTAGCACTGTCCCAGAGTGTTTCTGGGACTGGCCTGCAGCCGTTTCCATGGAGGAGGCAGTGAATATGCTGGGCTTGTGCCCCTGGAAACGGGCGCTGAAAGCCTGGCTAGAAGCATGTGGTAAAACTAGGCCACTGTGCAGCTGGGCGCAGATCAGATTGGTGAGCTCAGGGGAGTCTCAGGGCTGGGACAGGACGCTGGGACTGTGGGGAGGGGAACTGGAAGGGCTGGGCAGAGGGCCAGGCCTGGCACAGCCGGGGGCGCTGAGAGCGGGGGAGGGGCGTTGGCGGGACTGGCACAGCCGGGGGCGCTGAGAGCGGGGGAGGGGCGTTGGCGGGACTGGCACAGCCGGGGGCGCTGAGAGCCGGGGAGGGGCGTTGGCGGGACTGGCACAGCCGGGGGCGCTGAGAGCCGGGGAGGGGCGTTGGCGGGACTGGCACAGCCGGGGGCGCTGAGAGCCGGGGAGGGGCGTTGGCGGGACTGGCACAGCCGGGGGCGCTGAGAGCCGGGGAGGGGCGTTGGCGGGACTGGCACAGCCGGGGGCGCTGAGAGCCGGGGAGGGGCGTTGGCGGGACTGGCACAGCCGGGGGCGCTGAGAGCCGGGGAGGGGCGTTGGCGGGACTGGCACAGCCGGGGGCGCTGAGAGCCGGGGAGGGGCGTTGGCGGGACTGGCACAGCCGGGGGCGCTGAGAGCCGGGGAGGGGCGTTGGCGGGACTGGCACAGCCGGGGGCGCTGAGAGCCGGGGAGGGGCGTTGGCGGGACTGGCACAGCCGGGGGCGCTGAGAGCCGGGGAGGGGCGTTGGCGGGACTGGCACAGCCGGGGGCGCTGAGAGCCGGGGAGGGGCGTTGGCGGGACTGGCACAGCCGGGGGCGCTGAGAGCCGGGGAGGGGCGTTGGCGGGACTGGCACAGCCGGGGGCGCTGAGAGCCGGGGAGGGGCGTTGGCGGGACTGGCACAGCCGGGGGCGCTGAGAGCCGGGGAGGGGCGTTGGCGGGACTGGCACAGCCGGGGGCGCTGAGAGCCGGGGAGGGGCGTTGGCGGGACTGGCACAGCCGGGGGCGCTGAGAGCCGGGGAGGGGCGTTGGCGGGACTGGCACAGCCGGGGGCGCTGAGAGCCGGGGAGGGGCGTTGGCGGGACTGGCACAGCCGGGGGCGCTGAGAGCCGGGGAGGGGCGTTGGCGGGACTGGCACAGCCGGGGGCGCTGAGAGCCGGGGAGGGGCGTTGGCGGGACTGGCACAGCCGGGGGCGCTGAGAGCCGGGGAGGGGCGTTGGCGGGACTGGCACAGCCGGGGGCGCTGAGAGCCGGGGAGGGGCGTTGGCGGGACTGGCACAGCCGGGGGCGCTGAGAGCCGGGGAGGGGCGTTGGCGGGACTGGCACAGCCGGGGGCGCTGAGAGCCGGGGAGGGGCGTTGGCGGGACTGGCACAGCCGGGGGCGCTGAGAGCCGGGGAGGGGCGTTGGCGGGACTGGCACAGCCGGGGGCGCTGAGAGCCGGGGAGGGGCGTTGGCGGGACTGGCACAGCCGGGGGCGCTGAGCGCCGGGCAATACGCGGGCGCCGGCGTCACGCCCCAGCACATCAGCAGCACTGAGGTGAAGCCTCCTGACTTTCTCCCTCCTCCCCGGGCTCCAAAGGGGGACCCCCGCCTCCTGCTGGAAGGGAGGAACGGGACCCCCGAGAGCCGCCCCAGGCCCCCCGGGACGCCAGGACCCGAGCGAGAGGGAGACTGCCCTGCAGTCGGGACAAAGACCAGCCTGAGGTGTCAGGGGAGGGCTTCCCTGTGGCGTCCCAGGGTTTCCGGCCAGGCCCTCTTCCAATTGGCACGAGTGTAAATGGGCCTCCAGCCTGTAGCCTGGCCGGGCGCTTGGAGGCTCTGGGTGGCTGGGGCGTCTGCGCGCGGTGCCTTACAACCGCGGCAAGGGGGCCAATCTAACCCGAGCTCCCTGGGGTGAGACCACACCCTGGCTAGACTCCGCGGAGAGCACGGAGCAGCCTGGAAACGCGCCAAGCACCCACAGAGGTTCGGCACGTGCTGCGGGTGAGCCGGGCGGGGGACACCACCGAGCGCAGCCCCTGAAAGCAGGGGAGCTGGACCCCGCCTGACCGATCCGCTGCCGGGTCCGGGGATTATAAAGGCCGGCCGGGTACGCGGCTCTCCGAAAGAGCCACACAAAGTGGGCTGCCTGCTGCAGGAGGCAGGGCATAACCGTCGGGGGGAAAAACAGGCAGCCCTGGGATCGGGGGCGGGGAGGCGGGTGTGGAACGTGGGCTTCCCCATTCTTATGTGGAACAAAGCTGCAACCCGCATGCGCTGCCGGGTCCGGGGATTATAAAGGCCGGCCGGGTACGCGGCTCTCCGAAAGAGCCACACAAAGTGGGCTGCCTGCTGCAGGAGGCAGGGCATAACCGTCGGGGGGAAAAACAGGCAGCCCTGGGATCGGGGGCGGGGAGGCGGGTGTGGAACGTGGGCTTCCCCATTCTTATGTGGAACAAAGCTGCAACCCGCATGCTTCAGGGCCTCAGCTGGCCACCAAGAGCGGTCAGGAAGTGAGGGTTTCCCCTCCCCCGCAGGTTACTGGCCCATGGGCGCTTGCTCCCATGCTCAGAGCTTAGCTGGTCACTGCCATGGGGTTCCGCCTTCCCCTGCAGTATGGGGCACAGGTCACATGCCGGGCTCCTCTCAGGGTCCCTCCCACAATCATTTCCCTGCCATCCTCCGGCACCGGCGCCCCTCAGTCCCTGCTGTGCTCTGCCTGGGGCCCACAATAAATCTCCTTCGGGCCGTAATGCTTGGGTCTCGCTGCTGCCAGTGGGCTCAGTGTGCGGGTGGTGGCCTGTGATGGACACTCGCACTAGGCGATCCAGTCGTCCCTTCTGGCCTTGAGCTCTCTGGCCCTGACTCAGGGGAAAAGGCCTGGACCCCAGGCACAGCTGCACTCACCTTCAGTGTAGACGTGAAGGACAAGTCCTGAGGGTCGCGGCTGGGTTTCAACTTCCAGACAGTCGCACGCACTGTGCTGTTCCCAAAAGTCTTGTTGTTCTCCTTGAACTCCACCTGTTCCAGGTTCCGTTCCAAACGCAGGAGCTTTCTTTTGGGGAAGAAGGAACAGAATCAGAGACTCACAGAACTGGAGACCTGGAAGCGACCTCGAGAGGTCATGGAGACCAGTCCCCTGCACCAGCGAGATCATCCCTGACAGGCATCTGTCCAACCTGCTCTTAAATATCCCCAGCGATGGAGACTCCACAACCTCCCCGGGCAATTTATTCCACCCTGACAGTGAGGAAGCTTTTCCTAATGTCCAACCCAAACCTCCTTTGCTGCCGTTAAGGCCACTGCTTCTTGTCTTGTCATCAGAGACCAAGGAGAACAATTTTTCTCCCTCCTCCTTGTAACACCCTTTTAGATAATAGAAAACTGCTCGTGTCCCCCATCAGTTTTCTCTTTCCAAACTAAACATAGCATATAAGAACATAAGAACGGCCAGGCAATGTCAGACCAAAGGTCCATCTAGCCCAGTATCCTGTCTGCTGAAAGTGGCCAATGCCAGGTGCCCCCGAGGGAGGGAACACAACAGGGAATCCTCACATGACCCCTCTCCTGTCATCCATTTCCAAACAGAGGCTAGGGGACACCATTTCTACCCATCCTGGCTACTAGCCATTGATGAACCTAACCTCCATGAATCTATCTAGCTCTTTTCTGAACCCTGTTCAAGTTCTAGTCTTCACAACATCCTCTGGCAAGGAGTTCCGCAGGTGGACTGTGCGCTGCATGAAGAAAAGTTTCCTTTGGCCCAATTCTTTCAGCCTTCCCTCATAGTTCACATTCTCTAGACCTTGAATCATTTTTGTTGCTTTTCTCTGGATCTCCAATTCCTCCAAATCTTTCTTTAAATGCGGTGCCCAGAAATGGATGCAATGCTCCAGTTGAGGCCTAATCAGTGCAGAGTCGAGTGGAAGAATGACTTCTCATGTCTTGCTCACAACACTCCTCTTAATGCAGCCCAGAATCATGTTGGGTTTTTTTGCAACAGGGTCACACTGTTGACTCATATTTAGCTTATGGTCCACTATGATCCCTAGATCCCTTTCGGCAGGACTCCTTCCTGACAGTCACTTCCCATTCTGTATGTGTGAAGCAGGTTGTTCCTTCCCAAGTGGAGCACTTTGCATTTGTCCTTATTAAACATCGTCCTGTTTACCTCAGACCATCCTTTTGAATTTTGAGCAGAGAGGGAGTCTAGCGAGGGTGGGAGGGAAAGGGACCTCAAAGCAGGATCTGTACCACCAGAATGTGACAGGAGAGGGTTAATAGGCAGCAGGTTTAAAATAAATGAAGGAAGTTTTTCTTCATGCAGAGCACAGTCAACCTGTGGAACTCCTTGCCAGAGGATGTGGTAAAGGGTAGGACTTTAACAGGGTTCAAAAAAGAGCTAGATAAATTCATGGAGGGCAGGTCCATCAATGGCTATTAGCAGGGCTCGACAAATTCTGGAAAACCCTACTCGCCAGACAAAAAAGGGACTCGCCACCCTTCCCCCCAAAAAGTGTTTTTTTTAATAGCATAAATTCCTAATAAGAATAAGAACAGTAATTACTAATAAGTTATTAATAAATATCTTATAAACCTCTGCCTTTTCCCTCTGCTGCCATGTCTCCTCCCCTTGCTCCATCAGATCCCCTGGTGCCTGCTGCCCCCCAACTCCTCACCCTCCTCTGCTGTCCTGACTCCTGCCCTTCTCACTGTCCTCGGCCTTCCTGAGACCTGCCCCCTCCACAAACCCTTCTCTCCCCCCTGTGCCCACTCCTCCAGTAGCCCCACTCTGATCATGTGAGCTACCCCTCCTCATCCCCTCTTCTAACACCTCCCTCTACACACCTGCCCTGCCTCTCTCCTCTGGTGCTGGTCGTTCCCCTGCAGGTATCTGCCCTTCTGCTTCACTCCCAGAATCCCTTGGCACCTGCACCTTCCCTTAGCCTTGCACCCTCCTGGTGCCTCCCCTGTCCCACACTGCTCCTGCCCCCTTTGGCCTCTTTTGCCCTGATACCCACCCCCCTCACCACCCTCTGCCTGTTACCCTCATGCCCCTGTGCCCTCACACAACTTGCTCCATCCCCACCTTCCTCATGCCCACCCCTTCTTTCAAGCCTTCTCCCAGCACCTCCCCCTCCCCGTCTAGCCCCCAGTGCCCTTACCCTCTTCTCTCCCAGCATCACCCTGTCCCCCCTCCCACTGACACCTCCCCCCTGCCCTTTTCCTCAGTGTCTGCACTTGGCCCCCTGGGATTTATCTCTTCTGCACCCCTGTCCCTTGGTGCCTTCCCCTTTCTTCTTCTTCTTCTCCTGACCTCCTCCCCTCTCCTCGCCTCCCCTCAGCACAAGCCCCTTCCCCATATTTTGCCCCTCCCCTCCCCACAGTCCAGTCGAGCCCAGCCCCTTCCTCTCCCCCAGGGCCAAATCTAGGTTTTTTGCTGCCCCAAGCAAAACATCCCCCCCGCCCATTTTTTGTCTTTTACACGTTTGCAATTTGCAATGGGGTTTGTTTGTTTTGTTTTCATTTTTGTCCCGGCCTTTTAGCCCTATAAATAGCAAATAGCATTTTCATTTGGTTTTTTTTCCATAAAAGCAAAGGCGCTTCAAGTGAACTCCCCCTTTCACTCGCTGCTGGGTCACAGCAGCCTTTTCCCTGGCCTGTCCAGCCCCTCCCGTAGAGCCAGAGGGGTGCAGGGAACAGTGCGGGGGTACAGGGGTGGGGATGTAGAGCCAGAGGTGTGCAGGGAACAGTGTGGGGGTAATGCAGTGGAGGCAGAGAGCCAGAGGGGTGCAGGGAGCAGTGTGGGGGTACAGGGGTGGGGATGTAGAGCCAGAGGGGTGCAGGGAACAGTGCGGGGGTACAGGGGGGGGGATGGA